CCTCGATGGCGGCCCCCGACTCGAGCTCTGGCGCGGCCACGGCTCTCCACCCGCGCGCCGCTCGGACGGGGCGGGCCCGGGTCCGACGACGCTCGGCGCGGTGGGTACGCGCTCGTGCAGTTGTTTGTGTTTGAAATTCAATTGCTCCCTCCTCGGCACGAGGCCTCTTCCTCCACCCCCGCGGGTCCCACTCCTCCCTCCCTCCTCCCCGGCCCGCTCCTCCCCCCCCCGTGCCCCGCCCGCGGCGGTTTGATGCGCGCAGCTGCTCGACGCCCAACGCCTGCTACAGCCCAGCGCCCAACCCCGAGCCGCTCGGCGGCGCGCGGTGACTCAGGCCCGAGCAGCAGAGCGCCGAGCGCACCGAACGGGCTTTGTGTGCCCGCTGTCGGTAGGTGCCCGCCTGTCGGGGGGAGCTGGCGCCCGGCTGGACGGAGTGTTCCCCCTCGGTCCCACACCACAGCTCCGCTCGGCGCTCACCATCGCGGCTCGGCGGAGCCGATTGGGCACGTCTAGATACGGGGTCTCCCTGCGCTCTGCTTCCCACGAGTGTTTACTAGGCACCCGAGGTCCTTGGCAGCGTGCTAGGCACCCGGGACGACAGAAGTGAGTACCGCGCCGTCGCGCAGGCGTCCACCTGAAACCCCGATGTGCTTACAGTCTGCGACGGGGTGGCCGTGGAGACGTCGGGGATTCGACTTCTACGTTGGCCTTCACAGCCAGGAGGTGCCCGAGGGATTGTAGCACCAAGTGGCCACTTTCCGGGTACTTAGATCTCAGTTCACTGCTGCCTAGCCAAGGAGCTGGGCTCAATGATCAGCTCACCTCGCAAGGATAAGCTCCATTCTAGTGGCAAAAGACAGTTAGTGCCCTGAGCTACTGGGGAGGTGGGGGTGCTGAGATGCTTTCGCAAAGTTGGTAACTTTAAGATGGACCATAAAAAATAAGATTTTGTCAAATTCGGGAAGACTACATTTTGGTCTTACGTTATAAGGTTACATGCTGAAAAGGGACAGATCCAGAATTTGAGCTCACGTTTCTTCCCACTAGGCCAAATAAAACTATTGTAGTTACATGGTTGATTTGTGGTCACTGTGTCCAAATTCTAAGCATATGTAGTCTCTAAGAAATTAAAGGCCGGGCGTGGTGGCACATGCCAGCACTCGGGAGGCTGAGGCAGGCGGATCGCTGCGAGTTCGAGACCAGCCTGGAGTACAAAGTGAGCTCAAGGCCAGCCTGAACTATATAGCGAGACCCTGTCTCAAAAAGACAAAAAAAGAAAGAAAGAAAGAAAGAAATTAAAAAAGAAGCATCAAAATACATCATGTACAGATATGATGAATGTTATTATGTATATCTAAACTGTACAAGTAGCCAGGCCTGGTGACACACTCCTGTAATCCCAGCACTCTGGAGGCTGCGTTGTGAGTTCGAGACCAGCCTGGGCTACAAAGTGAGAGCTCAAGGCCAGCGGAACTGCATAGCAAGACCTTGTCTCAAGGGCCAGGGGTCTAGCTCAGCGGCACAGCACCTGCCCAGCAAGCACGAGGTCGAGAGTTCGATTCCCAGTACCAAAAAAAAAAAGACCCTGTCTCAAAAAGTCCGAAAATAAATAATATAAGTTAATAATAATAATAATAATAATAATAGGGCTGGGGATATAGGTCAGCGGCATAAGCGTCTGCCTGGCAAGCTCGAGGTCATGAGTTCAATTCCCAGTACCAGAAAAAAAAAAAATGCTGGCTCATAATAATAATAATAAAAATAGCCAGGCGTGGTGGTACACACCTGTAATCCCAGCACTTGGGAGGCTGAGGCAGGAGGATCTTTACCAGTTCGAGACCAGCCTGGGCTACAAAGTCAGCTCAAGTCCAGACTGAACTGTGTAGCTAGATCCTGTCTCAAAAAGACAAAAAAAAAAAAAAAAAAAAAAAAAGGTACTGGCCCTGGGGATTTAGCTCAGCGGCACAGCTCCTGCTTGGCAAGGACAAGGTCGGGAGTTCAATCCCTGGTACCGGAAAACAAAACAAAATAAAACAAAAAAGTACCAATAAAAAAATTAAACATTTTGGGGTTGGGGACATAGGTCAGAGACAGAGTACCTGCCTAGCCCATGTGTGAAGCCCTGGGTTTGAATCCCAGCCCAGCAATAAATAAATAAATTTGGGGTCTTTTGTTGCTGTTATTTGGGGTGGGGAGATTGAGAGAGGGTCTCACTCTGTAGCCCAGGATGACCTTGAACCCACAGGGATCCTTCTGCGTTAGCCTCCCCAGTGCTAGGATTACAGGTTGGCACCACCATTCCTGGTTCTGTTGTGGGGTTGTTTGTTTTCATTGTTTGCTTTATTTCTGGTACTGGTGATTGATTCCCCCACCCGTGCATATGTTAGGCAAAGGCTCTATCACTAACCACTGAACTACATCCTCAGTTCTTTTTTACTTTTATTTGGAGACAGGGTCTTACTGAATTGCCCAAGCTAGTGGGATGTGGCACATGTCTGTAATCCCAGTACTTGGGAGGCTGAGGCAAGAAGATCACCTCAAGTTTAAGGCCACCCTGGGCTGCATAGTGAGTTCAAGACCTGCCTGAACTACAAAGTGAGACCCTGTCTCGAAATAATAAATAAAAATAAATTGCCCAAATTTGCCTTGAATTTGGAATTTTCCTGTCTCAGCCTCTAGAGTAGTATTTGGCATTATATAAGCATGCGCTACCTAGCTTGCTTGGTTTTCGATGTATTAGGGGTTTTGTTTGTTTGTTTGTTTTGATTTTTTGAGACAGGGTCTCACTATGTAGTTCAGGCTGACCTCAAACTTGTAGCAATCCTCTTGCCTCAGCCTCCCTAGTGCTAGGATTACAGGTGTATGGCACCATACCATGCTAATTTTTTTTTTTTCCCACTGCTGGAAAATTGAACCCAGGACCTCATATGTGCTAGGTGAGTGCTCTGCTATGGAGCTACAGCACCAGTCCTTTGCTTCCTTCTTGAGAGAGTATCTATGTCAGGCTCATCCCTAACTACTGAACTCAAGTGATCTCCTGCCTCAGCTAGCCAAGTAGCTGAGATTATAAACAGTAATCATACACATTTGGGTTTTATGTTACAGGATACCCAGAGCCTTGAAATTTTGCAAAAAACTATGGTTTGAATAGGTAAAATATGATGTGCTTTAACCCCACAAGTTTCCTGATTCTATTTCACAGCATATGCAAAGTCTCCTGTAAGGAAGTGCAGGATGTAGCTAAAAGATCCATGTCTGCCTGTCCACATCCTACTGTTCACCGATCACGAGAACTTAGACAACTTCCTGAACTTTTTTTTTTTTTTTTTTTTTGGTGTTCAGGAAAAAACAGGATCAAACCTAGGGTCTCCTAAAGGCTAGACAAGCACTCCACCATTGAGCTACCAATTCGCAGCTCTCTCCCTGAACTTCCCTGAGACTAAGTTTCTGTCTGTGTAAGATGGGGTCCATGACTGCTCTGCCTACATCAGAGGTGTGGAGTAACTGCTTCACGGGCAGAGGCCTGCAAAGGTCTGCATGTCAGCTGGCCATCCTCTGGGCCTCGGAATACAATTCTCAAGTCTTGCCTGTATGACAGTATGGCCTCAGCATAGTTCCTCCTTGTGATGGAGTCCCTCTGGCCCTTAACACCAGCATACCAGGACATTCTGCAAGGTCCAGTGCAATAAAAGGGCCATGTAAGGCCTCCAGCCATAGACCTGTCGATTTGTTTCCATAGCAAATCCAAACTTGTTGTAACAGAGCAACTGGATTCCAGCCGCTGTTTATTTTACAATACCTTCCGGTTTGAAATGCAGTTGGTACAATAGTCCGGCTTGCCAGGCTAATCCTATTCTTTGTTGGTAGGGGAGAATTTCATCACAAATTCTTAAAGATGTTTCAAAGATATGTCTGGTATCATAACATGTTTCCAGGTCAATATAAATATGCACAGTCACCATGCCTGACTTCTTAAAAGATATATAAATAAATAAATAAGCACAGTGTCAAGGCAATAAACATGTAGTTTTTTGTTTTATGGTATTGGGAATTGAACCCAGGGCCTTTACACTGAGCTACCTTCTTAGCTCTCCTGCCTCAGCCTCCCAGAGTGCAGGGATTATAGGCATGTGTCACCATGCCAAATTAAGTGTGTTTTGAATTATTTTCCAATTGCATACACTCCAATTTAGTTAAATCAAAAAAGGTCCTCCCAATTTCTTAACTTTGTTTGGAGGTGGTCAGGCTTCTAAACAACACTTACAACATATTTCCAGGGCCTCTCATCAGTCCACCATGCAGATGTTGAGGTTCTCTTTGTTGCAATAATCTCCCAGGCTGTGGCTGCAATTTAATATCCAAGTTCTTCTTACATCATTGACCCACTCAACAGCTGCCTCTAACAAGAACATCAAGCGCCTCAGAGGGTCAGTTACACAGGTGGGCATAAGCCTGTTTCCCCTGGGATTCAGGTCTCACTTTCTGGTTTAAAGATTCTACTATGCAAACAAATGACTTGAGAATTGTCTTAAAAAGCACATTGTAATTCAGTGAAATTGAACCTAGGGCTTTTGCATTGAGCAAAGTCCCTAGCCCTTTTTCATTTTTAAATTGAGACCAGGTGTCACTAAACTACTAAATCTCCCAAACTGAGCTCTAACTTACCATTCTCCTGCTGCAGGATCCCAGAGTACTGGAATTATAGGCATACACCTCCACACAAGGCTGTATATATATGTTTCTAAGAAATTTTAAGCTGCTGTTGCTGCTGCTGCTGCTGCTTAGGTCCACCATCTGAGAAGAAAGGACCGAAGACAACACCAGTCATAGGCCCCACAAATGTCTCAGTGAAATTCCTTGGCTGCTGTGACAATTCTACATTTGTGTGGGGAAGGTCAGAACAAAAATTACTGGATTCAGGACTCTATAACAAGGAAAGCTTGTAGGTACAGATGTGGCTCAGAGTTTCCAGGGTCTCAGAGGAGCAACATCAGGAATGGTAGTAAAATTATTTCTGTGTAAATCAAAAGGGGAGTGTAGCAGCCAGAGGCAGGGAGTGCAGTCACGGGTAGCCAGTCCGTGCAGCCAATCTGTTTTGCAGTCAAGGGACTTGGGTATCAATCCTCCTAGCCAGTAAGTAGCTTTTGAGCTTTGGGATAATGATTTAGCTAGAATTT